CTTCGCATAATAATTCTCAGTATTTGATTACTATCAATATTTAACATTGATTTTATTATCAGTATTCACCAGAAATTAAGTACTGGCCAAAAAATTACAGAATTACTGGTAATATTTAATCACTAATAATTTTTCAGTATTTCTTAGTATGATATTTCTATAAGGGTGTTGAATAAGAAAATTGGTAATTATTTAGTTTAGCGGCATCACCTCCGATTTCGATAAAAAATAGACTCAATCGACGCGTTTGTGCATGTCAAATAACTTTTTCCTCTGGCAAAATCGTCGCTCTCTACTGCGAAGCGAGATAGACAAAGTTGAAGGCGTGTTGGATTAAAAAATCTGTCATACCATCTATCTCTAGCTATGTAACTGGGGGGCTTCGCCCCCAGTTCGCGGATCCCTCTATCACGGGGGGTGGGGGTTGTAGTCTTTTGTGAGAAATTCACTCTTTAGCTTAAGCACAAAAGACTATAGCCCCCACCTCCTGTGATAGGAGAGTCTGAGGGGCAAAGCCCCCCGTTATATAGCTAGTGATAGATGGTATGACAGATTTTCTAACCTAACACGCCCTCAAATTTGTCTATTAATATCTCGCTTCGCAGTAGAGAGCGACGATTTTGTCAGAGGAAAAAGTTATTTGGCATGCAAAAACGCGTCGATTGAGTCTATTTTCATCGAAATCAGAGGTGATGCCGCTAAACTAAATAATTACCAGAAAATTTATTAATTTTTCTTGGGAATTAAAAGTTTATTCTCTGCTATAATTGAATTTAAAACTTATCCCCATTGCCCTTACACACACACACACACACACACACACACACACACACACACACACACACACACACACCGACACACACACACATTTAACCCGGTTAGATTTAACTAAAAACACCGTGCTATATTAAAGAATAATTTAAGAAACCTACTGTCATTTTAAATTTCGCGTACTGTGTGCTAGAAGCATGCGTTGTGGTCACGTACGCATGCGCACATGCGGTCCTGCACCACAGTGCAGGACCGTATCATCCGTTTGACAGGTTTTCTAATCTGTAAGGCGTGAACTTTAACACTTAATATCTCGGCTCGCGGGGCAAAGCGACGCTTTTTTCGGCCGGATTCTTTCATTTTAAGTAAATACGCGTCGATTGAGCCCTCTTTTATTAAAATCGGAGGTGAGGTAACTCTTCTGAACAATTACCATGGAATCTATTACTTATCTTCATATTTGCGTGTAATCCACGGTGCTCGGTCACGGCGAGTCCTGCGGAACACTTCCCACGCGATCGTCGTGCTTACTTTTACTAGGTTTGTTCTTTCGACCTGACTGGCTGCACTAGTTCACGAAGTTTGCACTAATGCGTTCTTTCGATCAGAACAGTGCAAGAAAATGTGTTCTTTCGAACAGTGCAGGCTGAACTAGTGCAGCGAGTTCAGTGAACTGACTGCCCTAGGTCTGGAGGTAGAGCAAGCAGTGCAGGGCAGCTAACCGAAAAAATTTAAATTTGTATCTATAACCTGTAAAATCGGTATACCTAGTTGACATTACGTAGAAGAAATAATCCGAAGACGGAATCTATAAACAGTAAGTAAATACTTAAATATATAATAAATATATAATGTAGATAAATATATAATAAATATATAATGTAGAATGACATAAAAGAAGTATTTAGAATGTTATCCAAACAGCACAAAATATCCGAAAGACATCCTGGGAAGGCTCTTGGACGTTTTTTCGGAGGGATTTGTTGTATGGGTATCCAACACAAAACAGTTTTTAAAAGAAATAGGATTGTTCAACAAAACATAAAATGCTATAAGTGCGAAAACATGACCATAAATTGATCTATGTTATTTAATCCAGCCATGTTGTCCGCCATCTTACACTGCTCTAACTTGCTCTTACCCGTTCTTTTCAGACCCATATGTATTTTTGCACTGGTCTGCACTATCTTGAACTTTCTTCAACTAGTACAGTTCCAGTGCAGCCCTAGGTCAGGTCGAAAGAACAAACCTATTACGTATATGTCATTTCTCTCCTATCGTGGTTAGTCACTGCGCAGACGTGCCCTATAGACGGAGCAGCGACTCTTTCTTTTCAAGTCGGAATGCGTTCCTAAATTTGCTAAAAACGATCCACTAATCTTTAAGTCCGCGACTGTACAATTGAAATAAATTTAATTTTTCCACTTATATGTTTTTTATTAAAATCATAAAATTCCTATTTTGTATCCTGTAGTATTAAAACGAAGCGTCGTAGAGAAAAACATTATTAACAAAATATGTTTGTTTTTATGTCCTCTATTTTCCCTCAAAGGATCCCGCACAAATCTTATGGAAAATGGGTCCCGGTGGATTTGGCTGAAACTTTGGAAATTTGTAGTTTACGTGATTCTGATGAAAAGTTCTCATTGCCTCAACTTGATTCATTGAGCCGTATGAGTCCTAGGAACCGTCGAAAGTAAAGAAAATAAGGGGTGTATATCAGTTGGACACGGGGCAATTGGACACAGTCCAATCACAAGTCGCTGTTCCAAGGGACCCTACATCTAATCAGGGACCCTAAATGTCTCTAATCACACGGTGCTGTGATTGGCTGTGTCCAAATGCACCGTGTCCAAGTGCACCGCTCCCGAAAATAAGCGACTGCCATCGCCACTGTATAGGTAACCATCTGGTAATTCCTATCCCTTCCCTACCCTCTTCCCATTTCTCTTTCTCTCTTCCCCTCTCCCTTCCCCTCTCTTTCTCCTCTCTCTTCTTCTTTAATTAGTTTCCGTTATTTTATGTTAGCTTACTTTCATTTACATTACTTTGCGATTTGTTCAAATACCTTTTCTTGCGATGAAGGAGTGAGGATTTAACGTTATATCAGATCCAATTGGATCATCCGGATTACAAGAATCTGAATGTCACTTTAAAAGGTTTTACCGTCGACATTAGCGTTACCCAATGTGCACACGCACACATGCACACACGTACCAACACGCACACACGCACGCACACACACACACACACACACACACACACACACACACACACACACACACACACATACACCTTCACACAAACGGCCCTTTTCAGGACCACATAATGTGCAAAATTCCGATCGCGCAACCTCCCCGTGGTGCACATTGGGTAACGCTAATGTCGACGGTAAAACCTTTTAAAGTGACATTCAGATTCTTGTAATCCGGATGATCCAATTGGATCTGATATAACGTTAAATCCTCACTCCTTCATCGCAAGAAAAGGTATTTGGACAAATAACGCAAAGTAATGTAAATGAAAGCAAGCTAACATAAAATAACGGAAACTAATTAAAGAAGAAGAGAGAGGAGAAAGAGAGGGGAAGGGAGAGGGGAAGAGAGAAAGAGAAATGGGAAGAGGGTAGGGAAGGGATAGGAATTACCAGATGGTTACCTATACAGTGGCGGGTGTATATCAGTTGGATACGGGGCAATTGGACACAGTCCAATCACAAGTCGCTGTTCCAAGGGACCCTACAAATGTCTCTAATCACACGGTGCTGTGATTGGCTGTGTCCAAATGCACCGTGTCCAATTGCACCGCTCCCTACAGTGGCGATGGCAGTCGCTTATTTCCTACTTTCGACGGTTCCTAGGACTCATACGGCTCAATGAATCAAGTTGAGGCAATGAGAACTTTTTATCAGGATCACGTAAACTACAAATTTCCAAAGTTTCAGCCAAATCCACCGGGACCCATTTTCCTTTGGGACGCCCAAGGTTTGTGCGGGGTCCTTTGTCTAATTTTTAACCAAGTCAATGGCCTGGTTTACATCATGCACTTGACATGCGTACTGAATAGTAATTTTCTATTAAATAATCTTAATATCGATAATGCATATCAACAGCGACGCATTCTATCAATACAATACGTTTTGTTGATGAACATTATACCAGCTTAATATACCGTTGTTTATATATATCGTCGATATTAAGATTATCTAATAGAAAGTTACTATGTAGTACACGTTTCAAGTGCACGATGTAAACCAAGCCAATGGCTGCATTCAGCAGACTCAACAGTTGCACAACAGTTGAGTAATTTGTCAATGTAATTGGTCTAGATTTAGGGATCTAATAGCAAGAACCAATAATCGTTGATTGCTCACTGAGCGCTTTTTCTACTGAATGCGCCCAATGGCCTACTTTGCATCATGCACTTGATACGTGTACTAAATAGTAACTTTCTATTAGATAATCTTAATATTGACAATGCATATCAACGGCGACGCATTCAATCAATACAATACGTTTTCTTGATAAGTATTATACTAGCTTAATATACTATTGATTATATATATCATTGATATTAAGATTATCTAATAGAAAGTTACTATTTAATACGCATATTAAGTGCACGATGTAATCCAAACCAATGTAAAAAACCCTAGAAAATGTTCGAAAAACTCAACCCTGCTGAGCACTGAGCCCATCTCTAGTATAAACATCTGTGCTTCTACTCCGTTGACGCGGCTGTGACGAATACTCTGGTAACGCTGCACACCGCTATTTGGAATGTCCCGCTCGCATTGGTTAGTTGAACAGCTTGTGGTGAACGTAGATTTCGTGTGGTTTTGCGTTAATAGCTGAGCTTTAAGCGAAATTACTTAAAACTCGGCTATATCGTATGTAGTTTCCGATGCGACATTAATCTGTCGCAAATTCGCGACAACCGATTGGTGTCAACGATGGCAGCAGTCTTTGATATCGAGTTACAAGATGCTGAGAGCTCACTCCCTCACAGAGACGAATCGGAGGATGACGATGTTATCGAGATTAGTACGGTAATACACCTTTATTCATATGTTCAATGCGATCATGATTCTACTGTGCAAAGAGATCACCCGCACATGAATATCGTTCTGTTAACTATGCGTCTGCTTTCTTTTGTAGGAGTGTGACGCCGATTTAAACGTGAATGAGATTGTTAAGTGAGTATACTGTGAGTGCGTATATTTTGCACGTCGCACACGCGGCCGTTTGTCATTTTTCTCACTCTTATGCATGTTTCTATCAACGTTTATTAAATATCAATTTGAGTTTATATTTATTTATATAAAGATTTACACACAGGTTAAGGTTTAATCTATGTTGGTTGAAATAGACATTAAAGTTGACGATAACATTTTTGTTTTCAAGCAGATCAGACAGCTTGGAGACAGTCGCGATATCAGAACAAAATGTCAATCTTGGACGCGAGAGAGTTGGGCCACAAGATTTCGAGTTGTGCAAAGTTATTGGGAAAGGTGGCTATGGCAAAGTTTTCCAAGTACGGAAAACAACTGGAAATGATAGTGGCACAATTTTTGCTATGAAGGTACGGATATCTCTAAAATATCAATTGCTATGCAGAAAAAATGTTTTTTATAATATATCAAATAGAAATAATTACAATAATAGAAACAAGTGTAGTCTTATTGTATACAATGTTTTTACATGTTGCATTGAAATAATATGTTTTTAATATTTTTTTGTCATCTAGTAAATATTTTATGGACAATATACTAACATGCAATATACAGCTCTGACATATAAAAGTACAAGACATACAAAACTATTTGTAAAGGTAGAGCATGTCAACATGAGCCCAAATATTTCTGGGATTTTGTAAACAATTACAAAATTTCGAGATATTAATGAAAAAAAGATTGATGAAAACCAGGGTGCACATTAGGGAACAAGGTTAGCCATAGATATCCATCTATGCTAAGAGGCAATCATGTTTAGCCATTTTCAATGAGATCTTGAATAAAGTTTCTAACAGAGCTTGTCAAAAATGAAATAAAATATTTCTGAACATTAATCTTTAGTAATTTTTTAACGAGATCTCTAGCACAAAGAGTCAAATATTATGGAAGCATCAGTTTGCCATACAAAATCATATCAATAGTTTTCTTCCTATTTTTTGAAGTATATGATGATTAAGAAACAATATCGTGCACTCTGGTTTGTTAATCTTTTTTCATTAATAACTCAAAATTTCACGTGATTTTTTACATAATGCTAGAGGTCCTCAAGTTGTACTCTACCTTTACACATGGTTTTGTATGTTTTGTACACTTTGTATAAAAACAAAAACATATATAGAAAGATAACTTTTTGCTATAATAATTTTGTTATTTACTAGAAGTTACGTATAATATTATATATTATATAATATTTGTAGATTTATATAATTGTTAAATAGAAATATTGTTTTAATCAGCTTTTATATTTTCTTTTTCTCAAGCTATTGATAACAAACTTTAAATTTCGTTTATATTATTTTTTTATTAGTAAACTTTCATATCGATAATTATTTTATTAAAAATTTCACCTAAAATTATATTACACTTCATATACTTATCACTTAAAACAGGTTTTACGCAAGGCTTCAATTATACGAAATCAGAAAGATACAGCTCATACTAAAGCTGAAAGAAACATTTTGGAAGCTGTAAAGGTAAGTTTTAATTATTTCATTTAATAGAAAGTTTAATTACAAATAGTTCGTAAATATATATAATTTTTCAAGAATACTGTTCAAAAGAAAGATAATTAAGGTTTCAAGTAGTATTAAACAAGTTACAAAAGCAATTTACATAGTTAGTCTATTATTTATATTTCATGCAAAGTATCAATTTATATATTTATGCTTGCATTTGCCAGCATCCTTTTATCGTAGATCTCAAATATGCGTTTCAAACTGGTGGTAAATTATATCTAATATTGGAGTATATGTGTGGTGGTGAGCTATTTCGACATTTAATAGATGAAGGAATTTTTTTAGAAGATACTGCATGGTAAGTAGATCATGAAAATGTTTTAAATAAAAATATTTGTAGTACATGTATTTATATTGTTTATCTTGCAGCTTTTATTTATGCGAAATTATATTGGCCCTGCAACATCTCCACTTGCAAGGGATTATATACAGGTGTTATATTTTTTTAATAACTTGTATACTCACACATCAAACATTAAATTATAATTTCAGCTATCAATAACATAAATATATTAAATAGTTTACTTATACGGTATTGAATTAATAATATTTTAATTGGCAAATTATTTTAGAGATTTAAAACCAGAGAATATTCTATTGGATGCAGAGGGTCATATTAAGTTAACTGATTTTGGATTATGTAAAGAGCATATACAAGAGGGTACAGTTACACATACATTCTGTGGTACTATTGAATATATGTAAGAGCTATAAAATATTCTATTGTATAAAATTTTGAGTGTAAAAATTACTAGTGTAATATGTACTAATCTTTAATTTATATTATTCTGACCAAGGGCACCTGAGATTTTAACAAGAAGTGGACATGGAAAAGCGGTAGACTGGTGGAGTTTGGGAAGTTTAATGTACGATATGCTAACAGGATCTGTATGTATTATTTTCATACATTAGAAATCCAAATTTTGTTACAACAAATAATACTTCATGTTGCACTATTTGTTATTACGAATTGTTTAGCCACCATTTACTTCAGAAAATAGAAAGAAAACTATTGATAAGATTCTGCGTGGCAAATTGATGCTTCCACAATATCTGACTCCTGATGCTAGAGATCTCGTTCGAAAATTATTAAAGGTTAGTGTTTAGAAACTAATTTATTTCATCTTTATTATAATTTAAATAATTTAAACATCTCTATAATAAAATCAGTGATATTTTGCCTTTATTGGATAAGGAAGAATATTTATAATTCTGTTTATATAATGTACACATTTTAAAATATATAATTATCTTTTATACAGAGGCAAGTCGCACAAAGGTTAGGCTCTGGTCCATCAGATGGTGAACAAGTAAAAGCTCACCGGTTTTTTAAGCATATCAGTTGGGATGATGTAATATCTCGAAAACTAGAACCACCATTTAGACCAACATTGGCCAGCGAAGATGATGTATCACAATTTGATAAGACATTCACTACTTCTGCACCAATAGATTCTCCAGCTGAATGTACTTTAAGTGAATCAGCTAATAGGGTATTTCAGGTAAGCTTTTTCTTTTTGGTATTTATTTATTTTAACGGAGACAGCTAAAATGACTCTGACATATATTTTTAAGTTTCTTCACAGTAATTTTTAAAAGGTTTTAGCTGTCGGTCTTTATTTATTAAAATGCTATTAGCTATTAAAATTTAAGGGTAGCAATAGCATTTATAATAAGTGTAAATATTATATAAATATTTTTTCGCATAAATATTTAGAGATATTAGAATTTATAAACATCCCAGACAGAGCATAAAAACGATGTATAAGATAACTTTAAAATGTCTTTTAGTCATTTTTTATGATACATCTTTATAGATGTTATAACTAAAAGACATCTTAAAGTCATCTTATGTGTTATTTTTAATATGTTAATTTTAAAGCTCGTGTTGTCTAGGATATTTAGTTTAAAAGCCTTCTGCTTTACTAAAACTTTACTGGGTCCTTACTAAATCTATCATATAACTAAAATAATAGATCTGGAAAAAATTAGCAAAGACTCCTAAGCAAAGATTATGTTTGCACGTGAGTGCATATGTGTATATATATATATATATATATATATATATATATATATATATATATATGCGAGCTTAAGCATTTTATTATATATATTGAAATATTTCCTTATATATTTGATCACATATCTAAATTGAAATCTTGCGTAGGGGCTTTGCTAATTTTTTTAGTATCTATTATTTTACTATATGATAGACTCACACAATTTAGTAAGGTAAAAGATTTAATCGCAAATAGCCAAAGATTTCTAAGTAATTCTCTAAAGATTGTTATCGTTATTTATTATCGTTGTTTATTAAAGAGTTTCTAAGAAGTAATTTTAATTTCTTAAATATACAGTATGTTAGAAATTTATGTTCTTTTTACGAAGTTTTCTTTAGTAATAAACAAAATCCAATGATTGAAACCTTTTGAAGATTACTCAGAAAAATGTTTTTGAAAGTTAGTCAGAAGAATATGTCATTAGAGTTATGTCCGTTAAGAGGACTAGAACGGTTTTATCTTCCGAAAATTGAATGAAATTCGAATAACTTTTAGGAATACAATAAGCGATAGCAGTTTAAAAAATATTAATAATTGAATGAGATATTATTATTAAATTAAATTAAAAAAATGTTTTTGCGGTTTTGCCACGATTCCGGGAAAACGAGTTGGAATCTTTTAATGCGCCAGGCGTAATTGGTAGGTTAGATTTCCCTCTATAGATTGAACTGGAATGGAAACAAGAAATCTAAAAAATTAGAAAAATAGCAGACAAAAAACTAAAAATGTCTAAAAATTCAAGTTATTGTTAAAACAATATTAAGAAATTAATTTTCAGTACGTCTTTATTTTTAATTAAAAAAAAAGATCAAATCGATATCTTTAGCTGTTCTTAAATTATCGTGGCAAAAAGAGCGGAAAATGCTGTTTTGAAAAATAAACGTTTAAAGTTTGAGAACAGGATTACGGCAAGAAAATTGTTAGATACGAAGCTCAAACACTGTCTGCGCTGTATAATGACATCTAAAGGTCAGCTTCTATATAGAAATCGCAGAATGTCCAATTTTTTCTATCCTAACTTCTTTTGTTGATGCGAGTGGTCGTTTGTTGGCCTCCACTAAACCGCGGCACATAAGCACATCGCTATTGTAAGGTTTTAATGTTACTTCCGACCATTCCAAATTAATCCGACAATAAGAAAAGCAGTATTTAAGCAATTTAAATAAGTTTAATATGTTTTTCCAATAAGCGGTAACTTTCTGGCTTACTTTACAGCTAAGATTTTTACTTTTAAAGTGCCATTACATGGAAGCATTCGAGCGTCGAGCGTCAAACCCGTGCACAGCACTTTTGTGCAGAAATCTAAACTGTTCAGATTTCAGCATCTTGACACTATTAGGGCAATATCTCTTTCTTTCTGCGAATATTTGTAACAACCAAAACTTTTTTTTTGTTTTGCTTATATTGCATTTGCAATTAGTGATATTAATGCAATTAACTCCACGTTTTGTTTGTAATATTCATTACTGATAATGCTATTGCATTTTAATAACTACAAATAATGTCGATAATTAATAGACATTTTATAATGTCTTACAATTTTTTCTGAATTGCTGATAACTGTCTTGAAATTCAACTGACAATTCAGTATGCAATCAAATTAATTTTGCGTTTCAGCAACAACTCACTATTACTATATTACTGCGCATGTGCTCAACGCTTGACGCTCGACGTTCCTATGTAAAAGCACCTTTACTCAACCTTATCGACCGACCGACTGTTCTCGTCTTCTTTGTTGTTACTCTTATATTTGTTATCAGTGATCTCCATACGCCTATGGGCACATTCGGAAAGACGCTATCAATGCTATTAACGCAAACGCTACTAATACCGTTCATGGAACCAATAGCGCGATAACGTTAGCAAGTTTCACGAACGACGCTAATGTAGCGTTAGTATTACGCGTCGCGCTGTCATTATGAAAGGGAGTTTTAGGTTATAAATTTATTTATTAAATTTATTGGCTTATAACATCCGCATCATTGGCTTTTTCGTCTTTAAATATTTTTTGTAATTTGTCATAATTTTTAGAGCCAGATAGTATTTTTAATCTCTTTTAAATAACGAATACAAATATATCAATGTACATTGATATATTTGTATCCGTTATTTAAAAGAGTCCCGATGAAAAATGTTTTATGCATAATCCCATACAGCACAGAAAGTTAAAACAACGTTGTAAAAACGTTGCAATGTTGAATGTTGAAATGTAAACATCTTCGCAATGTAGAATATACATTGATTTTTCTATATTTAATTATTTATGTTGTTACAATGTTGAAATAATATTGAACGAATTAGTATTTATTGAAAGTCAAATAAAGGTATATAGTGTTGCGGATCGGAAGCGGGTGCCAATAAGCAAACAATATTTAAAAAACATTTATCAAACTTTTGAAAGACATTTTTAAAACGTTAAAAATAATGGGATACGTTCTCTTTTTTCATTAAAATGTTTTTTAACGTTTGGAAGAATATTTTGTTTTTTAATATTTAATGAACATTTATTTTAACATTTAAAAAACGTTTTTCTAAATATTAACATTTAACATTTAAAAAATGTTTTCTAAATGTTAAAATAAACGCTTATTAAATATTAAAAATCAAAAAATTTTTCCAAACGTTAAAAAACGTTAGAAAAACGTCTTTTTAAAGAAAAAAAGTACTTATCCCATTATTTTTAATGTTTTAAAAATGTTTCTTTAAATGTTTTTTAAATTGTAATGTTTTGTAATGTCAACCTCTAAGTAAACATATTTTACATAAATATTTCATGTCTGTATCTTTGATTACTCTTTTATTATATAAATTATTTGAACTATAAATAATTTATTTTTGTGATTGTACTAAATAATATTATAAGAGAATTATAATTAGTGCTTCAGCTGCATGGGGATAATAAAAAACACTTAGTATCAGTTGAAAAAGTAGCACAGTAGCCAAGGTTGTAGACTAGGGTCTGGAGGTATATGGGATCTCGAGTTCGCGTCCGACCAGTACTGAGTAAATTTTGAGGTGCGAAAATAGTGAGAAATCAAATAAAAGAGCTAAATTTCATTTAAAATCAACATAAGCTGACTAGTTGCAATAGTTTCTGCAAGATATATTTTTTTAACCAGTGTCATACGTCATTGTTACGTCATTTTATGTAAAAGAATGTCATCATTAAGACGTACTACATATGACGTCTCTGGTCTATGACTGAGGATCGTCAAAAAGACATTATTATTTAGTTAACTTGAAGGATAAATGACGTAACAGATGACGTAAAATTCACGTTATTATCACGGCTGTCACTTGAGATGTTTTTCGAATGTTGAATTGCAACGTCTTATAGACATCTACAAGATATTACAATTCAACGAACATTAGACGTTTCTATAACGTTTCTTCAACGTTGAATTTGTATTTGCAATGTTGATACATCTCAATGTTAAAATTAAACATTTATAAGATATGGATTCAACGTTTTTATGCTGCATAAGTAATATATAAAATTTGTTTATACATAATTATGTATTATTATATAATCATAAAATTATATATAATTATATACAATTATGTATAATTGTATGTATAATTACATATAATAGTTTATGTAATTATATAAAATTATATATGAAATTATATATATAATTATACATGATTTTAAGTAACACTCAGATAGCACAGAGATGAACAGAAGTTCCTAGAGAATTCATTTTAAAAAATACATACAAAATTAGTAAAATGAATATCTGAAGAATTCGTGAAGAAGTAACCACAATAAGTTCGTCTTGAGGTATTCCTCAAAAGTTCATTGTAGCGAATACTTTGCGACTTAATTCCTAGAACACTCTGAATTCGTGAAGAATTATAAGTGTTTTGTTTGTTATAATTATTTCTTGTGGCTGCGTGCAGCAGATACACATATCATTTTCAGTGCTTTGTGTGTGTGTATTATTATAATTGAAACTTTCTTTACAAATAAATGATATGATAAAAAGAAAAGTGATACTATTGAATTGAATCGTGAGAACATAGTTGAATTGGGTTTATATTTTACAAAGTGCTACTTTATAACCTAACGATATTACAATTTTAATATAATTCTTTCTTTATTCTATGTGATTCTTGTACAATTTTGGATTCCTTTCTTCTTTTATGTAGTGAAATCAGTATGTATTTTAATTATTTCAGTTGAAAAAGAACTGTTATTCATCAAATATCAACAAACATTAATGTTATATCAATATTATGATTTTCCACTCAACTGTGTAAGTGTTAGCACAATCTCATACAGCACAAAATATCCTGGGGACGTCCCGCAGATGTCCTGAGGACGTAGAAACGTCCTTAGGATGTTCTCAGGACGTACTCTGGATGTCATCTGGATATTTATGCTGTTAGGGCATATATAACATATGTTGTACGTAACAGTTATATTGTCGAGCGCGAATTAT